AGTTATTGGTAATAATAATACCCACCTTCTGTTTGATAAATGATATGATATGGTTATGTTTTTTGAAACAATTGGAACATCAAAGCAATTATGTGGTTTTGTTTTCTAAAATAATTGATATGGTCAAAGAGATATCTTGGGCAAATGTTCATCAAATCAAGGGAGAGTCATTGAAATTGAAGATATTTTTTTCCTATCAAATTTGATGAAAAGGGAAATTTGAGAATAAGAGAGGAATTTTCAAAAATATTTTATGAAAATTTTATTAGAAGATTGGAGTAGTTCATATTGAATCAAGCTTTTACTATGAAAAAATTGGTGAAGGGTAAGAGATGCTCTGATATGTTTATGTTTTCTAAAATAATTGGAACAAGCAAGCTCTCGACTTTAAGAGCTACATGTAGTTTGAGTTGCCAAAAGTTCATCTCCGATGCGATCTGTCTCCGAACCTCCATATCTGTCGCTGATATCAATCTTTTCCATAAATTGTAATATTCAATGCACTTTGGTCCTTAAATTCCTACAAGCTTGAGATATTTATTGATATCCCTTGGTTGATGATAAAGTCACTACCAAGTTTCCCTATGACATCATTCTGTTGTATAAGATATCTGTTGATTTCTGAATGTTAAAAAATAAATTACCTAAGCCACTACGATATATTGATTTGATCAAAGCAAAGTGACGCTGTCCACATGTACACAAGATGGAAGGAATGAGCTTTTTTTGTGTGCATATGTAAGATTCAAATGTCATTATACTGGCCTACGGTTAGCGTGCAGATGCAGAATCCCTCATTAAAAATATTGATATGCATATTGAAATTTCCCTATGTTAGTGTTTGGATCTTCAATTTGCATTGAGATTTCAAATTAAGTATAATTTTTTTGTCACTTCTTTTTTTTTTCCTTTTTTCTCCACAAATTTGAGTTCCAAACACAGCATAAGGTGTATCACTATACAATCTACTTTTGTAATTGTTCAAATTTAAGATTTTTTTTTTTTTTTTCTAACAAGAAATTTAAGATGTTTATAGTGACTTTGTTTCACCTCTTTTTTCTACAGTTAATTTACTCAGTTGGAGATGCTATGAAAATGATGCTGAGTGGCACAATGGAAGATGACTTAGCTTATACAAATAAAAATTATACAGATATGAAAATTTGTACAGATAAAATTTGGATAGAAAATTAGTAGAGATAAAAATATTGAACAGATAAAAATTTGAAGAGATATAAAATTTACACCCAAAAAATTGAACAAATAGATATAAATTTAAACAGATAGTCAACGAAAAGTCAAACAAAAAAAATCAATGATTAAAATTGAAAACAAAATATTCTTCAAGACTACTCACTAAACTATTTCACAAAATGTAGACCTCTCACTAACAAAAAAAATCACTAGACCTAATGCCTAAAACAATTGCTAGAGTGGATTTTTCACCAATTTTCTCTATATAATAATATCACTATTAATCATAATTAACACTAATGGTATGTAATTTTCATATTATATTCTGTGAAAATATCATTTTGAATCATAACCAACATCATTTTATGACATGACCAACACCATAACAATACATAATTTGTGTAGTGTATCATAGCATTAGTCCATATAAAAAGATGACAAATATTGGAGCATTTTATAATGTAATATTCTGTCCTTTTTTAAGCAGTAATTTTATGTAATGATATCAATAACTAGACAACGCCTTTTTTCTTCTTTTTGCTTTAGTAATCGGGTTTCCAGACTAGTTTATGCACATCTCGACTAAATGACTTATGAATTAGACTTCAAGGTGATGGATCGAACATTCATCTATGTTCACTCGTGCAAAACAAATCTTTGGACACTTTGGGGGTGACTTTTGTGACCAAAAAAAAATGAAGATCAAGTTAGTAGAGAACTTCAAGGAGAAGATAATCCACCTCATGTCTCCCTCCGGCCACGTGTTAGTCACAAAAATTTGAGTTAACCCGGAGCCGGCTAAATAGTGATCGACAAAATCACTGAGTTGTTCAACCCAGGGGTCTGCAATTTTCTAGTGATAATGCATTTTCACCTTAGTCTTGCAGTTAATTGATGTATTTATAATGTTTCTTGTACATTTTACACATCACTAAAAAAAAATTTACTTAAAAAAAATAAAATAAAAGGGGATTGGGTGTAATGCCCTGAAAATATAACCATTAATTATGGTGTTAATTCATTAATAATCTATTTCTTTAAAATATACTGAGACATTATAGAACATTTATATATATATATATATATCCCAGGGTCAGAAATAATATTTCTCATTGAACTTTTTAAGTAGTTGCATCATTGTTCAATTACATTCATCAAACAATATTAACAGTTCAAAGAGTAAAAGATAACATAAAATATAAATGCCCTGAGGCAAACATCTTTTCAAAAAGTGCCCTTGAATACACAGAAGGTGGAATTTTGTTCGCAATACAAAAATATCCTGAGGGTTCAACATATATCACATAAAGGAGACTCCGTGCTACCATCCAAAAATATATCTCAATGCCAATCACCTTGGTATCATCCCAGTTTCATCTCCCGAAAGATTGTTAGTTTTGAGATGAGCAATTGCCCAGTAAAAAATGCCATTAACAAGTTATATAGTTAATCGAAGTACATATGATCATGCCATGCTAGAGGTGAGAAAATGTAAGTATCTTTCTTTTGAAAGCCATGATGCTAAACTGTGGAATGCCAATAACAAATTTCAACCAAAACATGGGGTGTAAATAAGCTATGGCGTCCCAAGCTAGAGCCACCACACCACACATACGCATCTATAGATTGATTTATAGTAAGTAGTTCCACATTTGCCGACTCTAAAAAAGGTGAGGTGATGGGCACCCAAGACCTTTTCCTTCCACATTTGCCGACTCCAGAAACAACGGGCTCATAGATATCCAAAATCATGTTTTCCACATTTGCCAGTTCTAAAAATGGTAGGCTCATGAACACCCTAAAATGTTTTCCACATTCATTTGGCGATATGCACAGGACAGGGTCATTGGATAATTTGACTACCTGTATGGGTACTAATATACAATACACCACTTAAACCAAACCCGACTCACAACTCGAACTCATACGGTATTTACTCACTTCCAATACTTCCGAAACATTAACATTTAAAGTCACAAGGTGTATTTATAAATGCATATGATGCATGAATTTTCAAATCTTAATTTTCCTAAGGTGGTTTTCAATTCACAACAATCCAACAATATAAACATTCACAATCGAAAGAATTCTCACAATTATCACCATCACATGGTTATTTGTTAAGAAGTTCCAAAATCTCATATTTCAATATCAAAGTCAAGCCACTACACCCAAATTTCAAAATTCAAGAGTCAGTTGAACAAAACCCTTTATTGAACCAATTTGAAAACTAAGGTTTTAGAAAAATTGGGATTTTTTTTCCCTCTTACATCATTTATAGGCCAATCATCATCATCAACAACAATAATAATCATCAAAAATGTACATAAACTCTTCCAAGAATCATGAGGTATAGCCCATTTTTCATCAAACTCATTTTATTACACAAATACATTTCATAAATCTTGATAACTAATGAAAATATCACATATGTGTATTAAATCAAAGATATAACAAGTTAAAAGTACCCCTACCTCAAAAGAATAATGTTTGAGAGCCACAATTTGTGTGGCTCAAATGGCTCAAAACTGCCAAAACGACGTCGTTTTGGCATGTTTTGTGCTCAAAACGACGTCGTTTTGGCATGTTTTGAGCCATTTGAGCCACAAAAATTGTGGCCCTCTACCATTGCCCACCTCAAAATTGAAAATAAGGACTGAAGACCCAACTCTAAGCTCCACAATAATGCGAAACAACTGGTAGATCCTTAAAAATCTAGCTTGTTCTACAACTCTATTTGCAGATCTAAGGTGAATCTTGGGTGAAACTATGAAAAATCAAGTGTTTTAAAGTTAGGGTTTTGGAAATGAGTGATCGAGAGAGAAAAGATGTGAAAAAGTGAGAGAGAAATCGGTTTAGATTGACTATTAAATGTATTGTCTCGAACAGACTACTCGAGTGAACTTTCCATCACTCGAGCAAAGTATACAAAATCAAAGAGACCGAGCGGTAAACACAAGGTCTTAGAAGTTTTGCAGAGTTATAGTGAAAATACTAAGAGTCTCGTTTTTACGCTCAAGTGAGCACTTTACCGTTTGAGCGGTCTCGCCTACAAATAGGCAAGATATTAGGAGCTTTGCATCACCGCTCGAGCAACCGATTGACCGCTCAAGCGGTCACCCAAAACAGATCGTTACATCTGCAACAATACCTCTCGGTCTGTCCGACCTCATTGTTGGGAAATCCATGGGCTGACCTGTTAGAAATGGGCCGAGCTTGCCCCATAAGCTAAGCCCATCAGTCTAGCAAGGCAATCTGACCCATGTTGGTTGTGTATATACATCATTAAAAATCACTTTTAATATTGTGTCTAATTAATATATTAATTAGTATATTTATTGGTCTTTTTAATTGATCTTTTGTGTATATTACCTACCCAAAAAATTAAGTCAATTCAAAATTCATAACTTGTTCAATTTATTGTGTTTATCACTAAAAATTGGATGGTATATTTTTAAAAACATATTTGTCACTCTTTTTTTGGACATAGCTGCGATAAATTAAATAAATTGTAATTATCGGATCGACCTAATTGTTTTTGTGTATGATATACATGAAATTTCAATAAAATAAATAATTCGAATTATCAAATAAGACCTGTGATAAACCCTTACAGACCTAAACAACACCTCTAGATCATGGATGGGAGCGGCTCTTGGTCCATAAAAAATAAAAATAAAAATAAAAATAAAAATAAAAATAAATAAATTATTTTTAAAAACCGGAGCAATCATAAAACAACATATAACTTCAGTAATTGGATGTTTAAGTTACAGAAAATATATCAAATAGGAATCCAATAAGCATTGAAATATTCAACACCTCCCTCCCAAATACAAGAAAATTTGCAAGAATCAAAAGAAAAACATGGTGACCAAAAACTCGTATCCCTTATCCCATACAGAAATACTTTCCCATTATTACAATATAGACCAAGGCCATAGAAAAGCTAGAAAAGTTAGCATTTAAATCCATATACCATCAAAATTAGCAATTATCACATGACTATAGCATTGTTTCTCATCACCATCCAGCTTGGGGAGCTGGTGCACTCGCCGGAGCAAAATAATGGTCAAATATTCCTGCAAATAACCAGTTTTCAGGAAACAGTCAGTAAGAAAGAATGCTAAAAGACTGGTTGATGCAATTTATCTGAGCTACTTATATTTTATTTTCTTTTAATTCTCTGTATCAAATTATTTGGCGTAACTTCTACTTCCAAATAACTTAAATAAGCTGAACAAGTTGATGATCTAAAATTAGAAGATGGGCAGTTTTAACTTCTGCTTCAGCTTTTAACTTACAATAAATTGCACCAAATAGGCCCTAAGTGCTGCATGGTTGATATTAAGATGACAGAGAGGTAGAAGGGATGACACTAACCACAACGAAGGAGGTTGTTAGGTGGCGGTCGCTCCTTGGCGGGGTTGGGATCATCGTCATGAACCCTAATGTAGAGTTCTTGGCCCATGTACCAGTGCTTCAAGTGTTGTGATCTCAGATTCCACATTCCTGGGTTGTCGAGAAATGCATACACTGCACTCCACCCTTCAGGGTACACTTGGATTGTTGAACGAACCACCGGATCCAAGAGGTTGTAAGTTCTGCGCGATTCTGGCGTCCATTCTCCATTGCCAAACCTAAGTATTGAGAATGAATATTGTGGTGTGCTGGTAAGGATCTTTGTTTTCACTTTTACAAATGTTGGTTCATGAATAAAAAGTAATAATGTAGCAGAATAGAGTAGGCTATATATATGAGTTAAGTTGATTTGAAAACTTGATGATCTTGAATAATATGTTTAAATTTGATTTGTTTATTTTTTGAGCCAATATAAGTAGTCGAATAGTTTGGTTTTTGTAGTACATAAGCTTTATCAATATTATGTAGAAAATTAAATAAGCTTCAAAATGTGTTTAAGTTTGGTTTATTTACATAACGAGTCAATCTTAAACGAGTTGAACAAGAGTCAAGCTTAACTAGTTTGATTGGTTTTACAACAATAAGAGCTATAGGCCATGTTTGATTCACAATACTAATAGTGAGGTATTAATAATCCTATCAAATTAGTGTGGTATTAACTATCCCACCCCTACCCCATTACTAATTATCCTACAAATTTGTTGGATTAATTATCCATTGGATTAATAGTCCTAAACCAAATGTCAAAACAAACATAGGATGGTTGGGCCCACGGATTAATAATCCTAATCCCATACTTTAATCCTTCCAATCAAACATGCCCTAGCTTACCCAACTACATAGAATCCAAAGCCATCCAAATGCCAAGCATCCATAACATCCAAATCATTCTTGAACACAATTTCTAGCCACCCTTTGTGGACACCAGTTACAACAGAGACTCCATAGGAAGCTGCATCATTGACCGAATGGGTTGGAAATGCATCAAGTTGGTACACATTAGAGCCATTGACAAAGTAATCAGCAAGCTTCAATGGGGTCTCTGGAGTAAGATAAGACACATTGTTGACCACATAGCGCTGTACGCCTTCGATTTCACCCATTGATCCTTGGAGAATGAAGGTCTGGGATAAGGTCACATTCGTTACATTGAAGGTTCCTTGTGGGTTAGGCCTTGCAGCTCCTGCTGTCATGTTCCACCTATTCATGGAGAAAATTTATTAGATTTTAGATTAATTTGTGCTCCATAAGCCTACTTTAAAGTCTAGGATAACACAACTCTAGATATGGCATGGGATTCACTGTTTCTAAATCCCTGTGTACCTCTCTGTCCCAAAACATTCATATCCATTGGATTATATCTTGATATTATTGCATATTGGGATTTCAATAATCTAATGGCGTAAGTGTTTTGAGACAAGAGAACAGGAGATTTGGGCATAAAAGATCTTGTCCCTCTAGATCCTTTGTTGCCAAATTCTTTGTCCCTTATCCCAATGCACTCTAGCTGCGTGATCACGCCTTGAGATTACTGAGTTTTGAGATTCCCACCATACATGCAATGGGAGCGCATAAGAATTTCAAAGGCATCCTAATGCACACCTAGTCTCCTATATTTGCACCATTGTGCCATGAGATTATCATACTTCGAGGTTTTAATCACATTGTGCAACTACAAGTGCAAGTGGTTTTCTAAAATTCTTATCCCCTGTCCCAATACACTCTCAGTTGCACGATCATGCCTCAAGATTACTGTATTGTGATATTCCTACCACATCGTGAAACTGGAAATGCACAAGGATCTCCAAAACCCCTATCCCATTGTCCTAATGCACTCCAGTCACACAACTGTGCCTCAAGGTTGTCGTGTTCCGAGATACTAATCACACCGTGCAACTGGGAGTGCATTAGGGATAAAGGATGGGAATTTTGAGGATAAAAGATCCCTAGTCGAATTAATACAAACAGCCAAAACCAACATTAGTTGCAAGATAATCTTAAGCAAAAAAGAAGTGAATTTACCTGATAGACTTAGCTTGTTTCACTGAAAAATCTACATCAAATGGATCAGGTCCAGTGGGAAGAGGTCCACTAGCAGGTTTGACAGAATTGGCATAGCTCAACACCCCTGTGGCAACAAGAGTGCTGCTATTAACTGACCTGAGCAGTTTTGGAGAGGCTACTATGTAATAATCAGCTACATCTTGATTGGCTGTGACAAGAACAGAGTAGGATTGGCCAACATGCACATCAAGAGAGTCCAATGTGATCTGATTGGTGTAAGACCCTTCTGTTTCAACCAGCACCATCTGATGGTTCTGAACCCTGAAGTTGATGCTCATTGCAGTCCCCACATTTGATATCCTGAATCTGTATGTCTTCCCTACATTCCATTCAATATAAGGGTTACATAATAACATGGAGCACCTCATTTTGAACTACCAAGTTTAACAAAATCAACTCATGACCAAGGTTTTAAATAGTGGTTAGTGATTGATCGTGGTATAGCAGTATTGGGAGTATCAACTGATACGTATCCGAAATCAGGTGATGTGATTGTCATCAGCCACAGAAAAAGTTATAAAGCATCCAAACCGGCTGCATCGTATGTGAATTGGCCATATTGACTACCAATAAGGTTGTGAATCGGCTATGAACCAATACATATCGGGGACTGACTGATAGGCATGCAATTTTCATTCCCCGTAAATATCAAAAATCGTGAGACATTAGTGAAATTTTTTAATCATCAGCCACAAAAAATATTTCAAATTTTTTTAAAAAAAATTAGAGTTATCTACAAGGTAGCTGAACTGATAGGATTAGCTATGAATCGATTATAATATTGGCTACGAATCGAATCATGAATCAATTATGAACCAACACATATCGGAAATCAGTTGATACGCATCTAATTTTTGTTCCCACCAGTATATTGGAGTGTATTAGTTTCGAAAAATAAAAAAATAGTACTGATATTTAAAACCAAGCTTTGTCCTTACCTTGTGTGACTTTGAAGGACTGATAGGGGCTCTTGACTTGGGGATGGTACGGGCCTTTGCCATTCATCAGGACTGCATCAGGGATGTTACCAATGAACAGAAACTTGTCTTGCATCAGTTTCCTAACTACCTGTTTCGATCACATACCCAAAAACCATATAGATAATATAAACAACAAAGTACTAATGAAAACAGCAGATCACTGATCAGCTTCGTGTTTTTCAAGAAAAAAATTTATATTCATCCATATAGATTACGATTTGTCATCATCATAATCACTAACCTTGTAATCAGAGTAAAACCAATCACTAATGAGAAGGTCAAACTCGGCTTCGGGTTTGGGAAAGGGGACATTGATGACTTCTCGGTTGTTGACTCGAATGGGTCCGAATCCTCCAGCAGCTTTCTGGAAGTTGAGGGAGGGGAAGTAGAAGAAACTGCCTATCTGATCTTTGGTCTGGAACACATATGTCCAGTTGCTGCTGGGTTTGATAGGGCAGTTTGTGCCGGACACTCCGTCTTGCCATGAGTTTAACCTCTGTTGTATGCCATTCCTGCACCACCACACCACCCATTTTCTTCTTTAATTAACAAAGCTGTTTAGTGACATGTACTATTTTGTATCAGTTTATTTTCTAACTGCAAGTCTACAATAGAAGGTGAAAATGGTGGATCAAACTAATGCTCCATTTATTTTAGCAAAAAAATATTATATAACGGAAAAGGTTTTCTACGAAAAATTTTATCCAAAATTTAGTTGCCATCTTGAAACTAATTTGTTAGTTGTTGTATTTTAGTAGTGTTAGTGGTGGAGGTGGGGTGGTGGAGGAGGTGGCAGCGTTGGTGGTGAAGCTGGTGTGGTGTCATTAGTAAAAGTGTAGTCCAGAAAATAATTTTTACCTTTCAAAAGGATAAATTATTTTCTATGAAAATAAGTTCATATTTTTGTTGACTACAAAGAAAAAATTTTGTTGTACCAAACGCTAAAAATAAAACAAAGCATAATTAGCCTATATGTGATATATGACATATATACCATGAGATGAGTAAGGGCTCATCTAGATTGTTGAAGACATTCACATGAACAAAGTCATTGGTTGTGGCATTGATGAGTGGCCCTGGGAACATCCCATTAATGCTGATAACCTGTCATATGCAGACATTACATTCCCAGAATAAGTAGAACCCCAAAACACTTGATTTTTTTTTTTTTTAGAAAACTATTTTTAGCAAGACAATCCATTTAAATAAAACATTAAAATTTTACCAAGCAGGGTAAAAAAAGTGTTTAGTGACTGCCGCCGTTATGACTTACAGGCTGACCAAGTGATATGGGATCGGTCAGGTCAATGGAAACAATCCACTCTAGATAAATATCAATGCCATTGATTGTGCTGATAAAAAATGAAAGCAATGTTATGGATGCAATTAGGCATCTGCAGAGGCCTGAGGAGGCCATTGGAAGGGTGTAAAGTTGAGTTGAAAGAGTCTTTTTTCCTCACAATGGACTCTATCTTCATCTGTTTCTATATATATATAAATAGATAGATGAGAGAGAGAAAGAAAGAGAGAGAGGTGGAGTTTCCTATGAAATTGATGGAAAAACCCAGCCATAGGGAAAGGAAATAACAATGAAGTGGTTTTAGTTTAATAGCTTCACATGTGATTTTTACACATGCCGGCAGAGTAGTTAAGAAAATATAAACATTACTTATGTTCCAAGGACCTAGCTGACTCCGGCCAAGGCATATATATGTACAATGCCTTCTGCCTTCTGTCTTCTGTCTTGTTATGCATGTCAAGATCCTCATTTATACAATCCAATCTCATATCTTCCATCTCTTCTCTATGTAACTGTTGGAACAATCTTCTGTGTAAATAAAATAACTAGAAATAAATTCAAACAAAATAAATAAATAACATACCGGATTTATTTTGTCGAACCAAATAAAATTACAAGACCAAGTCGAGTGTGTGACACTCTGTCCTTAAGACAGATTCGCCCCGCTAAGGTACTTACGGATGAGTGGCGTCTATCTCCCAGGATACAATGATCTTCACAAATTGTAGTAGTACTCCAAACAATTTGTTCGGCGAACCAAACCTGTGTTCTAACTCTCTTTTATTTATTCTAAATCTAAAATGAAGAATAAAATGCAAAATAAAAACTGGACAGCACAAAGGAACAAATAATATGAATAATAATGCAAAAGTGCTGTTTTTTTCGGATAAAAATTTGATCCACAAAACTGCTGGAATCAAGTAGTATTTATAGGCAAACTTTAAAAGACCCGGATAGGTGCAATCCGAAATAGAACCGGTGCACCACTGTTTTTGAATAAATTTGATTCAAATGAACAGGTGCCAAAAAGTCAAACAAAATTGACCGTTAGTCAATTGAATGCATTTTCAAACTTTTGAAAATAAAGTTCTGTTTGTAACAGATGGTACTAAAACTATTCATTAAACTATTTAAAATATATATATATGTAAATATATTATACTATTTAAATAGTTTAATAAAAGAAGAGGTATAAACTTTATAAAACCACTTAGGAATCTAAAATTTGAATTTAGAGTTAAATTAAATTCTCATAATTACAAATTTTAAGAATCCACTCAGGAATCCAAAATTTGAATTTTAGAATTAAATTAAATTCCTACAATAATTTTTATTGAAAAAATTCAAATGAATTTTATCTAAAAAATTAATGTAAAACCCGAAAATGACGTCAACTTCCCATTCACTCATAAATGGTTTTGACGTACCGTCTTCACCGTGTGACTTGCCACGCGGCAAGGAACACGTCACCTCTTCGGACCCACCCCAAAAGACGTTTGGGGCCCACCCAAAATGGGCTCAAAATTATGCCTATATAAAACCATTTTCCAACAGTAACCACAAGTGACACGTATCTCTGGTTACCACGTGAGAAAGAGAGAGAGACCTATCTAATGTTTTGTATCCAATTAGTGAAGTAGTTTGCAATTTTAAGTAATCTTGCATCCTTATCTTCTGGATGGAAGAGGTCCTTACTTCATCTACAATATAATAAATTAAAAATGCTAGGAATCATGAAAAATTACTCTGAAATTTACTTTGAAAGTGAGGTATATGAGGTAGATTTAAATTTAATAGGAAGTGAGGAGTACTTGCAATGTAAATTATTGATTTACTTTCAAGATAAATTTTCTGAATATGTAGTGTTGTTGATAACAAATATGTGATTTTTGTCGTCTAGTCACATCCTTCACTAATTCAATTAATTGTTGTTAGAGAGCATTTTCAATCTTTTGTACTTAAAATTGTGTTCAAGATGATTAGTCCACAGTTGACCATTAGTCCAAATAGTTTACTAGCTAGAATGGATTGTTTGGCATCATAGCCTAAAACTGTTCTCACCACCCTTATTCTTCAAACACAAGACCTTAGCTCTTATATCACTTCGGGTCCCAATTTTTCACCTGTTCATCTAAAATCAATTGTTGTTCAAGTACTTGAATTTTTGTTTGTGACAGTCAATCCACTATTGACGGTTAATTTGCAGGGGTTAATAGGGTGGATTATCAGGCCCCATAACCCAACACCTTCCGGTCATGTTTGTTTGGACGGACACGTACTTGGAATTGGACTAATAGTCCAATAAAATTATTAATCCGATATTTGGTTAAAAAATTAAAGTATGAACCAATAATCCATATGGTATCCCATATATGATGAACTATTCAATCTCACCTAGGGGGTGTGATATAAATTGGAGAATTAGTCAAAGTCTTGACTAATTTATCAAATGACCATAATAGAGGTATTATGATCAATATATTAGATGTCTCATGTCCTGTCATGTCATATCCATTCAAATCCCCTTAAACAAACATCGGAATGAATAATATTTTGTTAATCCCTCCTTATAATCCTAACTCAATCCAAACATAAAATAGGATACACAATCCGAAGGAATTCGTAATCGTAGGACTATTAGTCATGGAAATGCTAATCCAACCTAATCCAGTCTGTTTAAACAAACATGGCCTCCATATCTTCTAACCTAGATATCATTGATAAGGTAAGGGATTATATATTAGGATCTCTATCGTACGATGAGGTCAAAAAGATCCATCGTATAATAGAAATAGCTTGGGCCAAGGAAAGATTTGTCCGAAATCCCTCTCAACCATACAATCATGTTAAAAAGATGAAATAGCTTGGTCTAAGGAAGGATCTAGACAGAAGATTTGGCCATCATTGATAAAAGTAAAGTAGATTTGCCGATGGTTTCAAAGTAAAAAGGTAACCAAAAAAGAAATTGAGAGGGAGATTTATAATCTGACTTTGGGCCGTGGTAGAAGCCAGACACGATAGGACCGAACATGTTTGGGCCGAGCTAGTTGGGCCTGACCAGAGTGGGTTTTGCTCGGTCGAGGCCCAGGCCCGAGGTAGAGGTCCCATGTTTGGACCGAGCTTACTTGGCCAAGATAACCGCTTGCCAACCCGGGTTCTATGGTCTGCACGTTTAGCTCGGCAGGAAAGGCCTTTTGTTCGCCAGCTCGACCTGTCTTGAACTCAGTTCTGCCGAAATGCTACCGAGCTCGGCTGTGAAGGAGCTCGGCGAGTGGAGCACTCGGACTCGTTACGCAGCACAATCGTGGAAGGCTGAGGAGATGCCGCTGGGCTGCCGAGTTCTCGCTGATGTTGTCTGGCGGTTTGGTTAGGTGGCGTTTGCTGGATTTGTGCTGACGGATGGGAGAGCAGCTCCACGTGTCAAGAGACTAATGGGTGCAGAGTTGAGCGCAGAAAGTATATAAGCGTGACTGCGCCCCCCATGCTGGGCATGGAACATCATTTGGTGAGATAGACTTACATTCATTGAGTTTCTCTCTTTCTTTCTCTCTCTGAGTGTGTGCTAACTTGTCCGTCGGAGGGGTTTCTGGATTTGTGCTGACAGATGGGAAAGCAGCTCCACGTGTCAAGAGACTAATGGGAGCAGATTTGAGCGCAGAAAGTATATAAGCATGACTGCGTCTCCCATGCGAGGCATGAAACATCATTTGGTGAGAAACACTCATTGTGCTATATCTCTCTCTTCCTCTCCCTCCCTGAGTGTGTGCTAACTTAACCGTCGGAGGGGTTTTCCGGCAACACACCGCCGGGTAGCTCACCGCCGTTGTGTTCTCAAGTTGATCAGATAGACTCAGAGCTTGGATGAAAGAAGTACGGACAGCGATGAATATTTCCGCTCCGTACAATTGGCGCCGTCTGTGGGAAGCTTGATAGACAAAACCTTGTCTTCTAAGCTCATCTGATCGCCTTTCATGGCGAACAACGACGAAATACCGTTGTCCGCCATCGACGGTGTTACCCCGAAGTCAGCCAGACGGAGAGACAGACTCCCCGCCGTTCCAAACATGGCGGACCTAGAGACTTCCCCAGGTGGACATTCAAGAGACGCGCGTGATAAGCGAACTAGAAGTTTTGATTACTTGCGGAGCCCAGACGGACACCGGCGGCGAAGAGAATCGCACGCTAGACGTCTGGAGCACAAGTCAAGGGACCAAGACGCCGTCATCCAGAGAATGGCGGCGGAGATGGAACCTCTCAAATGGCATGTTAAAAGGAAGGGTGTTACTGGAGTGGGAGACCACAGTGAAAGCACCCAACCATGCCGTTTAGGCAATCAGAGCCAGCGACACACTCCCTCCCTTTCTATCACCAGAAGTTACAGGGTTGGAGATTCCGACGCGCCTGTAGAGAAGTCTAGCGCGCAAGATAGTACTTATCAACCCTCACGTCTGGCGACGACGTCGAGATATTCCTACTCCGCTCGCTCAGAGGACTTACGGGTAGTCTTGAAGGAGCGGGCTCGCCGGCGAGAGACTCAAAGGGTGAGGGCGCTCTAGCGGCTATCTTACGGGGGTCACACCAGTGAAGAGGTCATAATGCCACCATCCCGCCCAGCCGTGCCTCTCATTCTAGACACAGATTTGGCGAGGCTGAACGCCACCCCCCGCGGGCTTTCACCAGCCCAAGTTTACGTTCTAAGACGGAAAGACCAATCCATACATGCATGTAAGCCACTTCCGGCAAGTCATGGCCGAACATAGGTGCAATGACGCTCTTATGTGCCTTATCTTCCCGTCGAGTTTGGGCAAGCTGGGCTTGAAATGGTTTGAGAGGCTGCCGGAGGGAAGCATCGAAAGGTGGCAGCAGTTGGCGGAAGCCTTTGTGACTCATTTCAAGACCAACACTAAAACGCCAAAGGAGGTGGACCACCTTCTCAGTGTCAAAATGGAGTCGAGCGACACACTCAAGGCATACAACTCC